GGAGGACAGTGCCCGGGGTAGGCAAGAGGACACAGACTCTGGGAGCTGGAAGAGCTTTGGCCCAGGGGTCCAGGCCGCTCCCAGAGGACAGGAGGCTCAGAACCGGGGAAAGGCTCCATGTTCTTTCCACTACGGTGGCCTCATGCTCCCAGGCTGTGCTGCCTTCTGTCTCCCTGACTGCCCAGGCATGGGGTGGCGTGGGGTGGGAGGCATCCTCTCGTGTTTCCCAGTGGCTCAGGCTGTGTGCAGGGGCTCCCACTTTGTGTCTCAGCTGCAAGAAGACCAGAAGGGGAGGAGGCGCTCATGGGACTGCTGAGAGGAAGGTATGAGGGAAGGGAGCGGTGGCCTGAGATTAGTCCTTTTAAAAGCCTTTGTTTTGCTGGGCACAATGGCTCATGCCTATAATCCCAGCACTTTGGGAGGCTGAGGTGGGTGGATCACGAGGTCAGGAGATGGAGACCAGCCTGGCTAACATGGTGAAACCCCATCTCTACTAAAAATATGAAAGATTAGCTGGGCGTGGTGGTGCATGCCTGTAGTCCCAGCTACTCAGGAGGCTGAGGCCGGAGAATCGCTTGAACCCAGGAGATGGAGGTTGCAGTGAGCCGAGATTGCACCACTGCACTCTAGCTTGGGTGACAGAGCAAGACTCTGTCTCAAAAAAAGAAGTCTGTTACCTGAAAGGAGGTCAAGTAGAGAGGAATGGCTGCGTGTGTGTCCTATGGGGCAGGGCAGGACAAAGGGAGGTCATTATTACACACTCGTCTCCTCCTCCTTCCCTCTTCCCCTCCACTTCCCTGTGAAGGCCCAGGGGCAGGCTGTGGCCACCCTCAGGCCCTGACTGTGGGGTGCGCTCCGAGAGGGCCATCCTCTCCGCAGAAGGGGTGGAGTGGTTAGGGGAGCCAGCACCCTCTGCTGCTTCAACATCTCCGCCTGGAACCAGCCGTCCCCTCTCTCCCAGGCTCCATCCAAACAACAGGAAGGCACAGCCTGAGATCCGGCACCCCCTCCCCTCCATTCAGCACTGAGTTAGAGCTGGTGGGGGCATGCCTGCCTGGTGGCTTTTGTGTCTCCAACAGCCCTCAGCCTCTGGCTGCTCTCCTTCCCAATAGGCACAGCTTTACCATGATAATAATAGGTTAAGATTTGAATAGAGTTTTCATCCTCTTTCATCTTCATACTGTCTCACGTTATCTTATTTTTATCCTGAAAACAGAATAGGTACTACAGGTATTTTTAGCCTGGTTTTACAGTCAAAGAAACTGACAAAAGGCAGGTTTGCCCAAGGTTACAAAACTGCTTAATAGCAGGGTAGACAGATGAAGTAACTGGATGTGTATCAGCCATGCCCTTTCTCCACACCCCTGGCACTCCCCAGGACAGCTCCCTGAATCCCAACATTTTCTTCTTTTGTAGGATTAGACCCAGGCATATAAATTCCTTTTTCCCTGTCTCCGTTCCTATATCCTTTCATTTTCACATACGATAGGCCTTGGAGGGGATCTGTGAACAAGACAAAGGCCAGGTGCAGTGGCTCACGCCTGTAATCCCAATGCTTTGGGCGGCTAGGTGTTCGAGACCAACATGGGCAACAAAGCAAGACCTGGTCTCTACAAAAAATAAAAATCACCTGGACATGGTGGCGTGTACCTGTAGTCCCAGGTACCTGGGAGGCTGAAGTGGGGCAATCGCTTGAGCCCAGGAGTTCGAGGTTACAGCGAGCTATAACTGGACTCATCCTTTCTTTGATGGATAAAGACTCTGTCTCCAAAAAAGAAAAAAACCAAGACCGATGGTTCTGGCCCTCATGGGGTCAGTTACCCAGCCAGGCAGCCAAGTCCATGGGTAACAGAAGATGCCTAGGGGTAAAGTTCAGAGCAGCAGAATTCCAGGGCCGCGGCATGTCAGTGCTTACCCCAAGCATTGAGGCCCAGAGTGCTCCCCGGTCGGAGCACAGGTTTACAGTCCCAGCTCCCCTGATCCCTGCATAGCTCTGTCCCCTGACATGGGGGTGCTCTCCACTCAACCCTGGCACAAGCCACCTGAGTAGCAGACAGGTATGGTGGCCGGTGGCCAGAGCAAATTCTGACCTGGCAGTTGTCCTCAACCCCTTTCTCCTTTTCACAGACCAATAGGCCAGAAAGTACATGTATTTCCAAAATGTGTCCTAATACCCCAACCCGCACTCAGTATTGAGCTCCTCCTACATCTGCAGGCCATGGATCTGTACTAAGTAACTGTCCACCCAGGCCTGTCCAGTTGCCGCAGCCAATCCAGACACCTTCCTCTCAGATTCTGGACTCTTCAAGACCTGAGCTGTAGCCTTCCTGCAGCACAGTCTGCTGGCATCTGAGGGTGAAGGGGCTCGCGGGTTAGGGCACGGGCGACTACCATCCCTCCCAGTGATGATAAAACTGGATCATCCTGAGAAGCCGGGTCTGACTCAGCTACACTTAGAAAGCGTCTTCTCTCCCACGCCTGAGGGCCTTCCTGGAGCAGGTGCCTTGATGGGGTCAGGGGTGGATGCTGCTGGTGGTAGTTGGTAGGACACGGAGGAGCCTGTGACTCCCAGAAGAAGAAAGGTTAAGCTCAGAGCTTGGACCCACTTTTTGTGTTAGGAGGTGTGGGATTCTGGTTGCGTGCATGTGTGTGTAGATTCTGATCACTGTGCACCCTGGACCAGGGAGCTGGATGCTTCAGGCTTCACCCTGACTCTGCCTGCCATGCTCTTGGCCCTTGGAGAGCACTCGGGTCTTGGTTTTCTTGCTGGAGTGAGTTGTAGGCAGCTAGAGCTGCTCTGGACTGCTGAATGGAGGACTGTACTGGCTTTCCTGGCACTTAGGCGATGACCCTAGCCTGCAGAGGGGTAGAGACAGGATGCCTTTTTTAGGGGGTCATGACAACGGGACCTTTTAAGCTTACTTGACCACCCAGAAAAGTGCCCTGTCCACCAGAGTGTAAGGTGGCATGGAGGGTCCCATAGGTGGGCAGTGTGCTGAGGCAGCAGTGGGGGGCTCGATCTCTCAGCATCCCTGGGCAAGGCAAGTGCCTTCCTCTCCCTGGGCCTCACTTTTCCCATTTAGAAACAGGGATTTGGATAAGTGTTTGAGGATCTATGATCTCGGTGTCTATGAACTCGACAACTCAGGGTGTCAAAAGGGGAGGGGGTGCAGGCCCTTTAAAGCATCTTCCCAGTGGTGGCTTCCAGCCATGGCTGCTCATGGGAGGGAGAGTAAGCTGCAAGCTCTGCTTTATTAGAAGGGTTGTCAGCGCTCCTACCCATGACCATTGCTGCCTGCCTGAGTGTATGACTGCTTGCCTTCTACTCTTTGAGTTCTAGTCGTCAATACAAGGCCCCTGTTATGTAGATACATATATAAGTTGGGAAGATTCTAATGGCCCAATTGTGGATTCCAATTAATACTTAGAATGGTCACTTTTAAAATGAGGATAGAAAAAGAAGAGCCCTGAGGCAATGGCATTAGGGGATTTTAGGTGGCAAGGTCCAGAGATGATGACTTAGAGTGGGAGAGTGTTACAGGGGCCCTGGGAAGGAGAGCCTCCAGGGTGGGGGTCAGAGGGAGAAGTAGGTGGCCAATTTCACCCTCTCAGCATTGCTGGAGCTGAGCCCTGCAGGAGCACACTGTGTGCTGGAGGGAGAGCCTGAACATGCAGGATGGACTCTGATGGCCCACGGAGAAGGTCAGCCATCTCTGTTTCTCTTCTCTGGTTCTTGACTTTACACTGGGCAGCTAGGAATAATCTCATCAAATAGACCTCAAGGCTCAGGAGGCTGAGCCATGGATTTGCTGCTCTTAGCTTAGCCCCGTTGCAGCTTTTAGCTTCCCCCAGAGCAAAGCACTGTTCCTCAGGTTGCAGGCCACAGTCCCAGAAAAGAGCTGATTCCTTTTGGCACCAAACCAGGTGAGTTAGACAGTGCGACTCATCGAAGGGGCATCCCCAAGACTTGAAATACTAAAGGTACACATTTTTTCAATGAAAACTTATCTTTGGAATTTTAAAAGAAATATTACACTATGGAGAGTGTAGATAAGAGAAGTTGCCACCTTCTCACTATTGTCATTTTTTAGAACATTTTTATTTCTTTGAGATGGAGTCTTGCTCTGTTGCCCAGGCTGGGCTCACTGCAACCTCTGCCTCCTGGGTTCAAGCCTCTGCCTCCTGGGTTCCAGTAATTCTCCTGTCTCAGCCTCCTGAGTAGTTGGGATTATAGCTGTGCATCACCACACCAGGCTAATTTTTGTATTTTTAGTAGAGACGGAGATTCACCATGTTGGCCAGGTGGGTCTCAAACTCCCGACCTCACATGATCCACCCTCCTAAGCCTCCCAAAGTACTGGGATTACAGGTGTGAACCATTGTGCCCAGTCACAGAACACTTTTAATTCATTTTTCAGGCCTTTCCTAACCATCCTATAATTAGGCCCTTTGTGGCCCTACACACACACACACACACACACACACACACACACACACACACACATATATGTATTTTAAACAAACATTTGGCCTTATGTGTTAGACACTGTTCTAAAACCTTTGTAAGTTTTTTTTTTTTTTCTTTTTTGAGATGGTGTCTCACTCTGTTGCCCAGGCTGGAGTGCAGTGGCACAATCTCAGCTCACTACAACCTCTGCCTCCCAGGTTCAAGCAATTCTTCTGCCTCAGCCTCCTGAGTAGCTGGGACTACAGGCACATGTCACCACGCCCGGCTAATTTTTTGTATTTTTAGTAAAGATGGGGTTTCACCACATTGGCCAGGCTGATCTTGAACTCCTGACCTCGCGATCTGCCTGCCTCAGCCTCCCAAAGTACTGGAATTACAGGCATGAGCCACCGCACCCGGCCAACCTTTGCAAGTATTAACTTAGTCAATCCTCACTACAGCCCGCTAAGGTACTCTTACTTGTTCTATTTTAGATCTACAGGGGAAATTGAGGCACAGAGGGGTCAGGGAACTTGCCCACGGGTTGTACAGCTGGTGAGTGGCAGAACTGGGATTTGAACCCAGGCAGCATGGCTTTAGAATCAACAGTCTGAGCTTCATGTCCTGCTGCCCCAATCTGACTGTAAACACTGTTTATGTCTTTCTTTCCCTCCAGCTGCTGAGCTGCTCACCCTTTATTCACTTTGTATATCACAGTGTCTGGCACAGCATGGCACTCAAGTGTGATTTGTCAGGTGAATGAAAGAATGAATGAGAAAGGGGGATTTCCCATAACCCAACTACCTTGGCACGATAATTATGGTAATTTTGACAGATTGTAGATTTCAAATCATGGATAAAGAACTGCTCCTGCCAGTCCTGTTGTCCCGTCATTGTCTTTGAGGCCAGCCGGAACAGCTCAGCTGTGCCAACATACCTGGGGTGAGAAACAGCCCAGGTTCCTCATGCCAGCGGCCAGCTGTGGGTCGGCCTCAGGACTGTCTCTCTCTTGATCTCACCCTTACTCACTCCCTTGCTGTCTCTCTCAGCCTCCTTATCGCTGTCTGCCTGTCTTGTCCACTTCCCATTGTGCCTCTAGACACTCTTCAAAGCCAGTGGAGTTTGAGGATATGGAATAGTAATTCTATTTTATAATAATTACTAGGCAGTGTAAAACAAACATTAGCATAGCTGGCAAAGAGTGTAGGCAGGTGGTTACTTTGGGATCCAAAAAAGCAGGATACAGCTGCGATCTCTGTGACATTGTGGATTCAGACACTGCAGGAACTGTCCAGTCCCTGTGGTGGCTGCCCCTTGTGGGGTGGTGCCAAGGATGCCTTGGGGGTTTAGATCCTCCTAAATTTCCACTAGGCCCCAACAAGTATACAATATAGCTAAAAAATAATGTATTTGTTAGGAAAACGTAACTTCGAGATGAGTCTCTAGATCCCACATCCCCTGCTCCGGATAAACTCTGGAGCTCCACAGCTGCCAGAGACCCATTTTTGCTGTCCTCTGCTGTGCTAACATTCTTCACCGACTCTTTAATAACAAGTGGGGCTGGAAGGCTGACCAGTGCCCTGATTCGTTTAGTATTGATTCACTGCAGGTCCCAGGCACAGGCTGATAATTATCTAACTGTTATATTCTGACACACATTGGATGGTAATACAAAGGACCCATGAGGCAGTGTTCCCTTCTCAAAGAATTTCAGAGGAAAAGTTCAATGGCAGTGCAGAGGTTAACTGACACCACGTTGGCAGCAACGATGGTCAGAGATGACTGTGTTGTGTCAAAGGCACGCAGGACAAATCCGCACAACTGAGTTGGTAAGCAGGAGCAATCCTGTGGGCTAGAGAGGGGAGCTCAGGCTTTGTGGAAGGGTGGATTTGCCCTGAGGCCGGAGGATGAGTAGGAGCCGGGCAGCTGAGCAGGGAGTCGGGGAGGGTATTCTAGGCTGAGGACCAGCATGGGGTGTGGCTGGCAGAACTAGAAGCACAGCATGGGACTCTGACGAGTGGGCCTAGTTCGGGAAGTCTGACGAATATGCTCAGGCCGGGCAGTGAGTGTGATGCTGATGTCAGGGCTGCCCACAAACTTAAACAAAAGCCTAGGAACAAATGTGGTATGCACCATACTAACCAATGTGGGGAAATAAATCACATACGGAGGCGCTTCTAAGGCACATTCAATAAGATCAGACGTGGGTGACTGTCCTGGGCTTCTATCCTGTGGGCCAGGGCAGCACTCCCAGGACATCCAGCATCTCCAGGTGCCAGGGTTGCCTTGAAAGGTGAGACTGGGCCTCCCCTGTGCTGGGTCAGCTGCAGGGTCCTTCCGTACTCAGGTCCTCTGCTGAAATGACTCAGTCTTGGTTTTGCAGGAGGATGAGAATGGTAGAATAGGCTGGCCTGGGCAGGTGTCCCCTTCAGTAGTCCTCTGGGTCAGTCTCTCTCACGGCCTGTATATGCTGACAGATCCCAGACCACCTGTGGTATCCCAGAGATGAATGAGTCCTACTTCAAACAATGGCTGAGGCTTATCTAGCCTCTGTCCCAGCAGAAACTAATCAGTTCTAGGAAGTTTTCCAGCCCTGCCTGAACCCTGCCAGTCCAATAACAGCATAGCACCTGGTATGTAGTGGGCACTACAAGTATTTGGCTGATGAAATTCCCACCTCTACATCTCTGACACTTCTCCCAAATCTTTGCCCAAGCAGCCTTGGCCTCTTCCCCACTCTCCAAAGCTCCGCAGAGGCCACAACTGAGCCATCTCTGTTGCTATTCTCATCACTGGGTTGCCATCCTACCATGTATCTCCCTCTTCCCTCTCCCCACCCCAGCTCTCCAGGACCCAGCCTACCTCAATGCCCAACTCGCTGGCTGGTCCTACTGTGGCTTCTTGGGAAGCTTGCAAGGATGGAAAGCCCATGTGAGTGCCTAAAAGGAGGGAGAACTTAGATGAGCAGCAGAGTTCTTGGTCCAGAACAGGCTAGCAGGGAAGAGAAAGCTGTCTGAAATATACCTTAATGTATCTGTGCATATATGTGTATATGTGTATGTGTATGTGTGTATACATACATATATGGACATCTGAGTTTATGAGGCATCTTTGCATGAATATGTATTGATATATTTTCATTTATTGGCTTAATGGATTTTTTTCTGCTGTCCTAATATGCTTTTGCCTTCATCAGCATGCCTTTGGTTACAAAATTGGGGGTTTGGGAATCCGATCTGCAAAGAGGGAGTATGAGCAGTGCTGGGAGGGCGTATCCCAATTCCCTACCCCTCAACCCTCAGCACCGAGGCATTGACGTAGAGGCAGGACAAGCACTGAAGGTTGTTGAGGGAGTTGTGACATCCTATGAGAAGTGGAACTAGAATTGAGGTCCCTTTAGTTCCAGTGAATCTAAATCTAGACTGCTTTGTATAGTAACCAGGACATGATTAAGTGGTGGTCGAAAGTGTGATGTCATGGGCCATGGAGCTTCAGTGCTTATGAGAATGACCTCTGGTCAGATGCACCTGGGTTGAGGCACAGCTGCATAAGTTAATAATTGTGTGCTCTGGACACGTCTCCTAACCGTTCTGTGCCTCAGTTTCTTCATCTGTAAAATGAGGATGACAACAGTACCTATTAAGGTTGCGGTGAGAATCAATGAGATAACACATGATAAGATAACACAGGTGGTAAGATCTCAGTCAATGTTGCTGGTGGTTGTTAGGCTGTTATTCTTGTTGAGGATTCAGTTTGAAACACTTGGATCCTCAGATGAACCGCCTGGCTCTGTGGAGTCAGCCTTAACTGTCTTCCCCAGCTCCTATCCTTGCTTCTGACCTAAAATTCCACTAATGAGGGGAAGAGCGCGTGCCCTCAAAATGCCATCCCATAGCCAGTTCAGCTGGACACCAAGAGAACCCAGCCAGGCTGTACTCCACTCTGACAGCTTTGGCTCCAGCCAGGGTCCACCCAGCTGGACACTTGGAAGGGACAGACCATTCAATCCCACATTCTGAGGCATCACTGCTTCCCAGGCCAGCAAGTGACACCCTCTTTTATCCCCTAAACAACAGGAGTCAGAGATATGTTTATGTGGTGCCATCCAGGGAGGATGAGGATTCTGATGGGCAGTGGCTCTGCAGCCTGCTTTTGGGTTGTGCACATGAAACTTATGCAAATGAAGCAGCCACTTCTGCTCTTACTCCCTCTAACCAGCTTCCTTCTGGGAGAGAAGGGCCAGGCTCACTCTTCAGTTGTGCTTCCGGACCAGATGCAGTGGCTCACACCTGTAATCCCAGCGCTTTGGGAGGCTGAGGTAGGCGGGTCACCTGAGGTCAGAAGTTTGAGACCAGCCTGGCCAACATGGTCTCTATTAAATATAGAAAAATTAGCTGGGCATGGTAACACACGTCTGTACTCCCAGCTACTGGGGAGTTGAGGGAAGAGAATTGCTTGGGCCGGGAAGACGGAGGTTGCAGTAAGCTGAGATTGCACTGCTGCGCTCCAACCTGGGCAACGAGCAAGATTCCATCTCAAAACAAACAAACAAACAAACAAAAAGGCTGGGAGTGGTGGTCCATGCTTGCAATCCCAGCACTTTGGGAGGCTGAGGCGGGTAAATCAAGAGGTCAGGAGATCAAGACCATCCTGGCCAACATGGTGAAACCCTGTCTCCACTAAAACTATAAAAATTAGGTGGGCGTGGTGGTGTGCACCTGTAATCCCAACTGCTTGGGAGCCTAAGACAGGAGAATTACCTGAACCTGGGAGTTGGAGTTTGCAGTGAGCTGAGATCGTGCTACTGCACTCCAGCCTGGCAAAGAGTGAGACTCCCTCTCAAAAAAAAAAAAAAAAAAAAAAAATTGTGCTTTCCATTGCGGTATGAGCCCCTTGCAAAGGTTGCTTGCCTTACGCTTGTCCTTCTCACTACCCGGGTCCCTATGTTTGGACTCATCTCTATACAGCAACAGGTTGCGGGGGTAGTGGGCGGAGGGGGCGGTTCTCTTTAACCCACCAGCAACTGTTCAACCTGGCGCATGGGCAGGAAACCTCAAGATTAACGTCTGAGAACTTGGAAGGAATTGTCAGATCCAACCCCATCATTTCAGATGAGAAAGCTGAGGACCGGTGAGAGGAGGAAACCTCCTGGTAAAGCACACTGGATGAAGCCGTGCTCCACCTCCAGCCTCTAGAAAAAAAGTCTCGGATAGAGTGGCCTCCACTGTTCACCAATTTTGCCTTTTTATATGATAGTCTTCTGTTCTGAAATGGTTGAGAATCCCTATGCAGTGCTCTTTCTGGCAAGGTCATTGTACTTAGCAGATTTTATCTTTATTATCGGGGAAAACTTGACAGTCACGGGGAGCTGCTCCTCTTCTTTTGGACTGGGGAACAACAGAACTTCACTGGGGAGGAGTTCCTGAGGAGAGGCGTGTAAGTGGGGGTGAAGGCGGCGAAACCCTGCGCTCCCAGGGGAGGAAGAGGGGGCCTTCAGTTGCCTTTAAGAAGCCTCTTGCCCCTCCCCTGCCTCATAAGGAATCTGAAATATGTAAACCCCAGAGACTGACTCAGTAAGAGTCATTTGCATAATATTTTAGGGTGATTTAGCCATGCACGGCTTCAGGTGGCTGATTTAGCTATGCTGGGCTTGGTAGTGATAGAATTGGTAGTAATAGTAGAATTGCCCTGGTTCTAACCAACACATCCTGTATCTCTCTGTTCAAGGATCCCAACCCTTGCTTGGGCACTTACTGTTTATCGAACTGGGACCAATCACCTTACTGTGTGTCAGTGTCATGCTAAGCACAGGAATTGGAAGATGAAGCCAACCTGTGGCCCCTTCAAAAGTCAAGTCTGAGGCTTGTAAGGAGGTATATTTTTGGTAGAGATCACCCAAAGATAAGCCCATGGGTGTCCCTAATTTGGGACAAACAACCTCCCAAACTGGACCCATCTTGCTGTACCTGCCTACACGACCTATTTTCTAGCTGCAAACAGCTAGCATTACCTGTTCTCAACATCTGGCATTCCCTACCTGCTTCGTCACCTTCCCTCAGGCTTCAAACAGCTATAGGGCCCCACCTCCTATCCATCTAGGATCCCTCCCTACCCTTTTTCTTCCTGAAAGGATCTGGAGACACCAGATCCACAAGTCCTGGTGTCTTTAAAAGGATCAGCCTGAGGAATAAGGCTCACTTCAGAGCTGTGACATTTATCTGACTCTAGTGAAAGTCCAACAGCCACTCCCCTTTTGGCCTCCAACTGGGCACCATGAGGGCCTGCATCCCCCTGGCACTGGCCGTGCTGTGCGGCCTGGCCTGGGCTGGTAAGTCACTCTCTGGTGGGCATGGGGAGGGATCTTGCCTAAAGAAGCAGAGAGTTGGGGAACTTGGTAGAGGGCAGGGCCGTGGGACAAGGGAGGATGAGCACTGTTGGGTTATCCTTGTCTGAGGGTGCAGGCATTGTTGCTGGAATCAACTGGACTATGTGGAGTGAATTGCAGAGCTGATGGACTGATTTCATGGAAGTCCTTTCTTGACACCTTGGAGGGTCAGCCCCAAACATCCTTTAGTCTAACCTGACTTGATGTCCCTAAGATTTTGTTGTAAGGGGCCACCATATGGTATAAAGCTAGGGCAGGGGCCCATGGGGTCTGAGTGGCCTGGCTGCCCTTGGTCACTCCTTCCACTGTCTGGTGACAGGTGAGGTTGTTTAGGGTATGACTTTACTTTGGGTAGAGCCTTAGGAGGTGAGCATGCTTAGGAGGAAACCAAAAGGACCCTTGACCAGGAGGTGGGCCAGGTCCTATCTGGGGTTGTACAAGGGTCAGAGGAATGGATCTCTGTTGTGGGGAGATTTAATTCTGCAGTGTTAGCAGAATTAAAGAATAGAGAAGGGACCTGGCCCACAGTTATGAGAGTTGGAGTGGATGGGACTGGCAGAGGAACAGGACTACGTTTCTGTTTAGTAGCTGTGCAAAATGCTAGTGCTGATGTGTTAATTGGTAGTTAGTGGGCAGGTGGAAAGGAGTGCCAAGGGAGGGGGCTGAGCTGAGGAGTGTGGGGAGAATCCTCTGCCCAGAGGAGAAAGAATCCTTCCACTCACTGGGTCACACCTGTATGGGACTGTGGAAAGGATTAAATGAAATGATGAGAAGCACCTGGCACAAACTGAGATCTCAGTGAATTAGAACTTTACTTATAAGACTATAAATATTCTTGGGATAAACTTCTGCTTGGGGTCATTTCCAAATGAGTTGTGGAAAGAACACCCGTAGTAGGATTTCTAAATGCAAAACCCTTGGCAGAGGAAGTTGTTCCCAGGCCTCCCAACTAGGGATGAGATGGTGCACCTTACCCAGAAATCAGCTCTTTCTGGGTCCTAGCGGGCGGAGAGGCAGTGGGAGAGCATGAGGGTGGGCCTGAGAGCTACCAGCTTCAGCCCTGTTGGTGGGGAGGACCTCAGTGGAACCTGAGGGCTTAATATGGAGGGGTGGCCAGTGGGCTTGGCATATCCCAGGCTTAGAGAAGAACAACTCTGGACATTTGGTCCCTGCGGGGACATCCCTGAGGGCAGAGGTAGAAGTGGCTTCAGAAATGCAGGTGGAGCTCTTGCTACTGGGTTAGAGGGCAGCAATCTGCATCGGCTGTGGAATCAACTGGGAAGTGAGCTCAAGTGTGTGAGGCCTCCTAAGGTGGCAGGGAAGAGGCTCTGCGCTTGTTAATACTATCCCAGCATCTCAGAACTGAATCACACGATCATTGCCAGCCTCAGGTCCTCCTTTATGAGCTGGATGCCTGTGGAGAACCTTAATTGTTTTTTTGGTTGTGAATGGAGGTAGGAAGCTAGTCCAAGGGGTGAGGCTTCTTGGTTGACTAGGTCTCCATGCAAACAGCATCTAGGGCCTTCTGAGAGGCACAGGTGTAGGATGTTCCAGTCATCAGAGGGGCTGAGCGCCAGTGTACAGAGACACTGTGTCCACTCAGGCTTGGGACCAAGCTTTCTTGATGGCCAGTATGGATAGGGAGTGGCTATTCTGGCATATTGAAGTCTTAGACGGAGCAGAGAAATTGAACATTCCATGGAGTAATGGAGGGAGAATCTAAGCCTGAGAGAGGAAAGGCCCAAATGAAGAAAGGCAGAGAGTCGGAGAGGTGAAGCAGAGGAACAAGAGGCACAGGTTACTAGAGCAGTGATTCAGGTGCCTGCCTGGGGAACAAGGCTTACTCAGAGCGCTGGTGTCAATGGCACAGTGTAGGGATGCTGGAGTGAGTTGTTAGGGTGACTAGTTACTCATCAGAGATCCCCAGAACATCACTTATGAAGTGATGAAGTCAGCCAGGAAACAGCAAGGTGCCCCTGAGGAAAAGTTCCTCCTCCCAGCCCTCCACTGTCAAATCCCAAGGTCACCTTGAAGCAGGCCAAGAGCACAGAGACATGTGGGAAAGTGCCGGCATGGGGCTCTTGCTGGAGACAAAGTTCTTGGGCAGAGATGAAAAAGCCCACTCAGCTTGGCCAGCGGGGGTGCTCTCCTGCACATTCAGCGGACTGCTTGCTTGCAACCCTTCTCAACTGGTGCCAGCTGCTGGAATGAGGTGAATTATTTTCCTGGACTCTGCTGATTTGGCCCATTAAAAATATTGCCCTGATTTGCCTGAATTCTCTCCCTTTGGATTCTGGGTGTACTGCCAGGCTGACTGAGCAGGCAGCTGATGGGCTGAACATTTCTCCTTAAGATCTTTGCGTTCAGGCTCCAAGGAAGCATCATTTAACATTCAAGAGGAGTTCCTGTGGGCTTGAAGGAACAAGTGGCCTTGGGCCTGGTCTCTTTTGGGGACTGGAAATCTGCCTTCCTGGCCACCTTGGAGGACTTAATGCGAAGTTGTCTGAGGACCTGGGTTAACCTTGACCTGATGCCTCTCTGATGTGAAGAATACGGACCTGCAGCGGTCAAGTCAGTCGGGAAACCAGCAACACGGACGTGCTGACAACTCAGCCCAAGGGATGACCCTGCTGAAACCCTGGGGGAGTTTCAGCTAAATTAAGTGTGACAGCAGGGCCACTGCACAGGGAAGACTGCTCCAGCCAGTCGGAACACTTGTCACTTGGAAGATGGGCATGAAATATTGCCACCGTTTATTTACCTAACAAGTACTTCTATGGTACTTGCTGTCCTAAGTGCTTTACACATATTAACTCATTTAATTTTTATAAATACTCTGTGAGATAGACTCTATTATAATCCTGCTTTTACAGATAAGAAAACTGAGGCATAGAAGTTTAAATAACTTGCCCAAGATCACGTAGCTAGAAAGCAGTAGAACCAGAATTCCAGCCTCAAGTAGTTTGGCGCCAGCATCTAGGTTCTTTTTTTTTTTTGAGACGGAGTCTCACTGTGTCGCCCAGGCTAGAGTGCAGTGGCACCGTGTCAGTCCACTGCAACCTCCGTCTCCCAGGTTCAAGCAATTCTCCTGCCTCAGCCTCCTGAGTAGCTAGGATTACAGATGCCCACCACCATGCTTGGCTAATTTTTATTTTAGTAGAGATGGGATTTCACCATGTTGGCTAGGCTGGTCTCCAGCCCCTGACCTCAGGTGGTCCGCCTGTCTCAGGCACCCAAAGTGCTTGGATTACAGGTGTGAGTTACCTTGCCTGGCCCAGAGTCTAGGTTCTTAACGTCTCTGCTAGGCCAACCCTCATTAGACACAGTATCAACCTCAATCCCAGAATCCAGTATTAGGGATTGGTAACTAAACCCAACCTCTAATATTTAAGCTCTAACCCACTCCTGGCTTAAATGAAGATACTATTTTGTGTTGAATCGTAACCAGAACCAAGCCCCCAAATAAAACAGGAATTATTTGTCCCTTTCTCATCCTGACACATTCCTCAACCCCAATGTCATTTTAAGTCTATTCCTATTCCTTACCCAAATATCAATACAAAATTGTTAATTCATCAATAAATTTAACTCAAAGCCCAAATCCTAAGTTCTTAACCTAACTAACCCCAACTCTGGTCCATATTAGATTTCAGTTTCCTCCCTGATAGAAATTCTGATGCTGATGGTAACCCTGACTCTGATCTTGAAATTCTCTGTAACCCACAGTATGATCGCTAAACCCAGCGTTCATGAAGTCCAAACCTCAGGAACCTCAAATCGAACAAACACTCCGTTATCACCCTTAAAGCCCAGAGTGGATAGTGGGTTTCCACAGTTCCTTCAACTTGTCTTACATCCCTTGCGACAAAAAGCTTGCTTCTGCAAACCATTTGGCTGGAGTGGGGGATGTGGTCTGTGGTTATATAATAGAATGCTATGCCAGAGCCCAATTCTCACCCACACTCGCCTCATTCCCTACCCCGAGCATAAATTAATCTGAATACACTCCAAAGACTGGAAAGAACTGAAAGATACGACACGGGGAAAGCGGGTGCAGAGTGGATGAAGGTGAGAGAAAAGCAAAGAAGCAAAGAACAGGGATGAGATGAGAGCCAGCGGGGAGTGAGAGGGCAGGGGGCATCCCTGGGACAGCATCTACATGACAGGTGAAGGGGGCCTGTGGGCTACACCCAGTTTACAGACCTCTTTCTTTGGTGCATTTAAAGCTTTACAAGCTTGGAACATTTCACATAAAAATGAATATTTGTCTTGAAGAAAAACAGGAGGCTCTGGCAACACTGAGCCCACGTCCCAACATGGCAACAATTGCCTGGAGCTGAGCATCAGCTGCAAACTTCAGATGGAGCATTGCTCTTAAGTTTGTCACAGTCTCCATTTCTTTCTACTGCCTCGTACCCTGCTTCTTTACTTGTTTATGTTATGGGCCTGACCCAAATAGGCATTTGGGTTTGTGATCCTGGTCTCCTTGATGAGCCTTGAAATATTCAGTGGGTGTTGGGTGGTGGGGAGGAGGCTTATGTTGTAGTTGGGAGGCTGTGGATGTACTTCTCCCTTGCAGAGAGTAATGCCATTCTCTGCCAGGTATACTCCTGCCCTGGTCTATGAACCCTCCTGCAGGAGGCACTTAGTGTGGAGAATAGAGTCTCCATAGGGCTGAGTTTCCTGCCTTTACTGCCCATAGAAAAAATGGAATCCTGTGCATCTCGATGTAATGAGAAATTTAACCGGGATGCTATGTGCCAGTGTGACCGCCAGTGTCCCCGGCATGGGGACTGTTGTGAAGACTATAAACACCTGTGTACTGGTGAGCCTCCCTCCTTGTGAGACAAAGGCACCTCCAGCCTGCCTGAGGGGCCATTGGCCTGGGTGTCCAGCAGGCCAGAGCAGTTTTCAGGACCCAGAGGGGCTTTAAGGGTCTGGACAGAGAGCACTGAGGGACAGAGGCAGGGTCAGGGATTTGGCCACCACTTGGTCTCAGGTTTTCTAGGATGCTCCCAACTTAAAATATATTAGATGTCATTTATATAGAATATCTGTCTGAACTATCAGTATTAACAATATCTTGAAAGTTTAAGTAACAAATTCTAAAAAAGGATAAAATGATAAAAATTATATTTTAGTATGTCTGACATTACTAATTGTTATTCAATACTTTAAACCACAAAAATGTAAAAATGGTAGCAAACTGTCACAACTTGTGTACCGCCAGAAAGACTGCATGGTGTCACAGTGACTGACACAATTCATACCGTTCTTCCTCTAGTGAAGGGACCACGTGGCATGACATCTCCATCGTGTCATTTCCAGCTCACCAATGAAAACAGGACATGTACCACCTTCAAAGGCCGTTGCTCCTCCACTACTCCAACTGCACAGTTTTAAGTGAATACTTGAAAACAATCTTATATGAATAATCTACTTGTTTAGGTGCTTCCAAATTTAGATTAGATTCCATTAATCTCTCCCAGAAGATTAATGATCTGCTTTGTGACACAAGGCCTTGCTGTCAAACCATGCACTCTGACTCTCAGTTTCGAGGACAGGTCACTGGAGTAGTGTTAGGTAATGGCCAGCAAGCCCACTGCATAATTGTTGTACAGGTTGTGCATTGTACAAGGGAACCTAGTTAAGCAGCAAGCTGGACCCAAATCCAGTCTGTATCCTTGTTATCAGGTTGTATGCTCTGGTGCAGAGTTGTGTCTGCTGAGAGAAAGGAGTGCCTTTTCTGAATCTGCCCAAAGATGGTAGCCAGCCAAGTGCCCACAGAGCTGCTTCCACTCATATGGAACCTTTTTTCCATTTACACAAAAACACCATATGTATTAGTCCCTTTTCATACTGCTACGAAGAAATACCCGAGACTGGGTAATTTATAAAGAAAAAGGTCTAACAGACTCACAGTTCCATACGGCTGGGGAGGCCTCACAAGGATGGTGGAAGGCAAAGGAGGAGCAAAAACACATCTTACATGGTGGCAAAGTGCAGGGGAACTTCCCTTTATAAAACTATCAGATATCTGCCAGGCACCGGTGGCTCATTTCTGTAATCCCAGCACTTTGGGAGACCGAGGTGGACTGATCATGAGGTCGGGAGATTGAGACCATTCTGGCCAACATGTCGAAAACCCCATCTCTACTAAAAACACAAAAAACTTAGCTGGGCATGGTGGTGGGTGCCTATAATCCCAGTTACACAGGAGGCTAAGGCAGGAGAATCACTTGAACCAGGGAGTCGGAGGTTGCAGTGAGCCGAGATTGCGCCATTGCACTCCAGCCTGATAACAGAGCAAGACTCTGTCTCAAAAAAAAAAAAAAAAAAGGAAAAAGAAAACGAAAAAAAAACCTATCAGATTTCGTGAGACTTAATCACTATCGCAAGAACAGCTTGGGAAAAACCTGCCCCTGTGATTCAATTACCTCCCACTGGGTCCCTCCCATGACAGGCAGAGAATATGGAAGCTACCATTCAAGATGAGATTCAGGGGGGGACACAGCCAACCCATATCACTGGATATATTAGCACCACATGTATATATAGGTGTGCCCGTGTGTGTGTGTGTGTGTGCGCGCACACACACACACACACACACACACACACTTCCTTGCCCAGGCAAGGAGACCCAGGTCCAGAGCTCAGCCCGAATCAGAGCCTATGCCTTTTCTGCTGCCCTTGTGTCCCCACTTTTTCTTACCATTCAGCAAACACAGGAAGGCCCGTTCACCTTGGCCCATCAGGCTGGCATTCGAGATAAACGCAATACCCAGCATAACAGCCATTTCATCTCCAAGTTTCTGATTCGCAACTCAGAACCCCTTTCCAATAGAAAAATATATTGGAAATGATGGTTAGGACTCCAGCTCAGCACACAAAATTCTATTTAGTATAAAACGTGGCTGAATTCAGAAGCCTAAGGATTGCCAGCACTTAGAACACAGCCTGATCATAGTAAGTGATTAGAAGATGTTTGTTGATTGAAGAATAACCTGACTGGTTATTCTTCTGGTTCTGATGGTAATAACATGATACTTTCCAGAAACTCACTAGTAAATTCTGAATCACTTTGTAACAGTATTGTTTGTTGGGTGTGTGTGGGGTGGCGGGAATTATGTGATCAGAGAGGAACTCAGAGTCCCCAGGAACATTTCTCCCCTGGCCCCCTCCCCACCTTAAATCCACCCTTCTCCACCTAGAGAGGAGCTAAAGTCATTCGGCTTGCAGGTGAAGGGAATGGGGCAGCAGCAGGAATGTGCTCTTCTGAACATGCCCTTTCCCTAGACACAGTCTTTGCGGCCATTTCCAAGTGGGGCAAAGAAAGAAGGGAAGTTGGAATCTCAGGAAACAGCTCTTTTTCCTTGAGGCCCTGAGAATTTACCCTAGACTCTGACTAGAAGTTATTCTAGGTACAGGAACTTCCTAAATGAGAGCCTTATCATTAGGAAAGCATCAAGACTCTATCCATCTGTTAACTTTTGTTAAAAAAAAAAAATCATCACCAAAATCAGAGTTTTCGATCCAGATGTGTCACCTGGGGACATTATTTTCCTTTTTTATAAATTTTCCATAATGTGCTTTCCACTGGAAACATCTTCCATTTTCTGTTTTCATCCTTGTTATTTGGTGACTGTCCATTGGACCCCAGCCCCTGTTCAGGATTTGCTTCTAGTGCCCTTGCCTGTCGCTGAGGCTGGGGGCGCTGAGAACCAGAAACCAAGCAGGAGGGGAATTCTCAGGTGATTGGTGACTTTATTTTTCTATCTACCTGCAGAGGACCACAAAGAGTCAGAGCCATTCCCACAGCCGGAGGAAGAGACAGAAGAGGCCCTCGCCAGCAGTGAGCCTGCCTCCCCAAAGGGCCCTCAACATAAAGCAGGAGGGACATGAGGGTGACAAGGAGAGGCAGCCATGGCCATGGCACCAGGCCCAGGCCTCAGCCAGATGAGCGGGGCTTGCTGGACTCTGGGAGCCTGGGCAGGAAGAAGTCTGGGTGGCTCAGCCAGCCTGGGGGGCTATGGGAGAAGGGTAGCTAGAAAGAGAGCCTGGAGAGGAAAGCGGAAGAGATTTTATTTTTAGATTGGGAAGATCAGAAAAACAGCATGCCAGAAAGTAAAGTTCGGCATGGGAAAGGACTTCCTGACTGTGAAGGGTGTGCACGAATTAGGCTTGTTTGTTTTCCTTCCCTGGAGATCTTTACTGGGCAGAGTCGGGAGAGCCAGGAGGGAGGGATGGCCTGGGGGGTGTTCACAGCAACCTCTAGAGGTTGGTCCGGGACACCCCTCCCCTCTTTTCTCAGACTTGTACTCGGCACCCACCTCCTGCCAGGGCCGCTGCTACGAAGCCTTCGACAAGCACCACAAATGTCACTGCAATGCCCGCTGCCAAGAGTTCGGAAACTGCTGCAAGGATTTTGAGAGCCTGTGTAGTGACCGCGGTTAGTCTTCTGCTCCCTTAGCTAAGCTGCAGAGATAGGACTCTAGAGTAGAGGTTCCCAGTGTGTGGTCCCCAGACTAGCATTATCAGCAATGTCTGAGAACTCGTTAGATAACGCAAACTCTGGGGCTTTGCTCCAGGCCTGCTGAATCAGAAACTCGCAGGGTGGGACTTACTGCCCTGTTTTACCATGGCCTCCAGGTGATTCTGATGCATGCCGAAGCATGAGACCTCTCCTGGGGGGAAGGGGTGGAAGGACATTTTGTGGGCAATGCCATGTGCTGATTTTACAGGTCCTTCAGGCTCTGCGCCCCTGTCCTTCAACCACTAGGGTGTCCAATTGTGGCTCCCCTCCCTCCATGCTGACTTCCTGAAGGTCCAGGAGGGGATGAACACAGACAATTTCCTGCCCACCTCCCACTTTCTCTCTGGCTCTGAGAGCACCCCTCTCCCAATTCCTCCCAGAGGGCTTCTCCTACAGCAGTGATGCCATAACCAAAGAGGAGATTCAGAGCATCTCTGAGAAGATCTACAGGGCAGACACCAACAAAGCCCAGAAGGAAGATATTGTTCTCAACAGACAAAACCGCATCTCCCCGTCGGAGACCAGAGACCAAGTGGATCACTGCCCAAAGCCGTGAGTTCCTGCAATTCCTCTTCCTGCCCCCGAAATCTCGCCCCCATCCTTGCTTCTTTTGACGCCTCAGCTCTTTTATCTTCAAGTCAGGCAGGGTCAAAGAGAGAGAAGAAAAAAAACAGGTCTCCAGAGACAAAGCCATCTTGAGGGACTACGGATATCCAGTTGGGAGGGTTTCTGTGATTGGCCAGGCTGAGGATAGAACAGCTTTTCCAAAATATGAAGTGGAAGAAAAGTGACCTGATGTGTGGCCTTCAAGAGTACCTGAAGTCCCCCCTCAGCTCCTGAACCCAGCCCTCGCCTGCCTGCCCCTGGCCTGTCTAGAAGTCTCTGGAGGGGTCTCTGCCCCGAGTTTGGGACTCTCAGTGGTTCCCCTCTGCCTCCCCCAGACTATTCACTTACGTCAATGAGAAGCTGTTCTCCAAGCCCACCTATGCAGCCTTCATCAACCTCCTCAACAACTACCAGCGGGCGACAGGCCATGGGGAGTACTTCAGTGCCCAGCAGCTGGCCGAGCAGGACACCTTCCTCAGAGAGATCATGAAGACGGCAGTCATGAAGGAGCTCTACAGCTTCCTCCATCACCAAAGTGAGTGAGCATCCCCAACCCTCAGGACGCATGAGTCTGTCTATGCGAAGCCAGGTGGGTGGGGGAGGGGAAGGTTAGGAGGGCAGGTGAGGAGGCGGTGGGGACTCCGTGGAAGTTGGTATACATCTGAGAGGAATCAGGGATGAGGCCAGGGGGAAGCCAAGAAAGGTTAGGAACCCAACCAGGAGCTGACATCCTCTGGCTGGCTGGCCTGGAAATCACCCCACCTTTGACCTCATGTTAGCTGCCTCATGCATGCCCCACCCTCTGCTACAGTCTCCGGGTTCTCTGCCGGGTGTGAGCCTCCCCTCAGATCCCACCCCCACCCAGGGCACATCTCAGCCACCCAAAGTCAGCACCACATTTCAGATAGGTAGAGTCGCTGATTCCATTTACTCCCTTCTTCTGCACTAAAGTCCAGGAATCGGGTTGGCTGAGTCCACCTTTTGGCTGAGGAAATAGCATCAGAAAATCAACAAAGGTTCAGAGAGGGAAGTCCTACCAGGAAGAGCTCTGGTTGGAAAGCCTCCAGATAGAGATAGATTTGAGTCAGACCAAAAAAGATTTTGGCTGCAGGACTTCTTGGCACGGGGTTTTGTTTGTTAGTATCCTGCAGATTTCTCTCCCAAACTCCAGGCACCTGGACTTTGTCTCGGGTGGCTCTGCCCAGGTCTTCCCTCTTTGCCCCTGAGAGTGGCTTGGCTCTGAGGAGCTGCCTCCCTTAAGAGTTGGTGACACTGTTTTTAGGTAAAGTGACAGTGACACAGGAGTGACTCCATGAAGAAGTTGCAGTCCTGTGCTGCCCCCTGGTGTTCTCTTTGTAGTAAATACACAAGAGAATCTTAAAGGTCCAGACTGAGCAAGGGCTTTTTAAATGAGAGAAATGGAGGTCAGACAGGCTAGACTTACCTGAGGCCACAAAGGAGTTGGAAGCAGAGCTGGGGCTGGAACTCAGGGTTCTGACGCCAAGGCCAGGTTGTCCCATTACTCACTCTCTTCTCACCTCTCTCCTTGTCCAAATCCCACTTATCCTCTAAGTTCTGTAACAGCTCATATCCCATCACATTTGTGAAGGCTGTACCTGTCCCAGCTAACTCTGGCTTTCGACACCTCTGCAGAATTTGAAGTGTGGTCCACAACAGCCTTGGGCCAGAGGGACTTGGTTTAAATCTTGGCTCTGCCACTTGCTAGTGACTTGACCCTGGGGAATTTATTGGACCTCTCTGGGGCTTCCCTTTGAAATGGGGTTTTTGAGGATGACTGCTTATAAAGCACCCAGTAGAAAGCCTGACTCTCAGTCAGTGCTCAGTAGGATAGCTATTCAGTGTGTGAAACCATTCTCTGTTATTTCATGTATAGTCTTGTGTTCCAAATGTGTTTTAAGTCCTTGAAAGGAAGGAATGTCTGGTATCTCTTTTGTATTCACCATACAAAATTCTAGGCAGTTAAACAGGCAATGTTGGATGTTTCCCTCATTGAGATCTCCAGCCCTAAACTTTCTCAAGGGCTTTTTCAACATCTCCACTTGGCTATCTAACCGATATTCACACAGAACTTAAAGTAGAAAGAATTTTTGGTTCCCATCTCTTTCTGCATACCTGCTCCTCCCTGGGTCTTCCCTGTCTCATAAATGACAGCACAACCCATCCAGTTGCTCAGATCAAAAGCCGAGGAGTTGGATTTAATTGTTCCCTTTACCTCAAAGTTCCCTACCGCCATCTCCTCCATCAGCAACGTAATGTCCTGGACCTGCTGCTGTTCCCTCCTCCTCTGGATTTAACACCACCATCTAAGCCCCATCAACTTCTTACGTGGCCAAAGCATAAGCCTCAAAACTGGTCTCTCTGCTTCCACTCACACCACCCCATTGCCTTTTTTACATCCACAGCCAGGGTGATTGTCTATCTGCAATTCCCCTGCTTAAAATTCTTCAGTGGCTCTGAAGGATTTTAAAGTTGAGTTGTTAAAGAGGTTGGTCTCTGGAGTTAGACTTAGTGGACTCAAGTGCCGTCTCTACCTTTCATTAACTGTGTGATCTTCTATGAGTATGATACTCTTTGTCTCAGTTTCCTCATTTTTAAGTTGGGGATAATTAGTACCAACTTTATGTGAAGATTCAATGTGAGGATTCAGTGTTACATTGAAAGCATTTAAAATGGCACTAGGTACACAGAAAGCAATTAGTAAATCTAAAATATTTTTTGTTTTATTTCTATTTGCCTGAGATCTGACCTTCTTGCCATGGCTTGGAGGATCTGACTCCCGGCTGCTTCTCAAACCTCCTCTCCTGTCACTCTGCCATCACTCTCCCCTCCTGCCTCATTGACTTTCTTCAGTTCTTTGAATAGCAAACTCAAGTCTGCCTGGAGCCTTTGCTCTTGCAGGTCCCTCTACACAGAAGAATCTTCTCCCCAGATCTTTGTGTAGCTGCTTCCTTATCCTTCAGCTCTCTGATCAGTGCTACCTTCTCACAGAGGCCTTTCTGATGTTCCTTTCTAGAAGAAACCCCCCACCCCTACGCCAGCCCTCCAGTCATTGCGGGCTACTCTGCTTCATAGCACTGATCTGAAATCGCATTTCTTATTGTGTACTTGTTTATGTTTTGACTCCTCCACTGGAATGTAATATAGATAGAGACTGTGTCCGTGCTATTTCCAGCTGAATCCTTAGTCTTTAGATCTGGACCTGGCATAAAACAGGCATCTCATAGATAGATGTTGAATAAACAACTGAACACATTTGTTGATTGAACCCACATGTCTCTTGGCATGTGGAAGCAGGTAGCCCTACAGGTCTCTGTTTAGCGCTCCCAGGACCTAGCCCTGCCTCCCCTCTCCAAAGCCCCGTGTTCCTCTCTGCAGACCGCTATGGCTCAGAACAAGAATTTGTCGATGACTTGAAGAACATGTGGTTTGGGCTCTATTCAAGAGGCAAAGAAGAGGGGGACTCGAGTGGCTTTGAACACGTCTTCTCAGGTGGGAGCACTTTTCTTGAAAATAAAGAGTTGGAGGGATGAAGAGGAATGGCTTTGCTCAGGAGCAGGGTAGCCCTGGGTGTGGATTCATCAGCAATGGAGCCAGCTAGCAGGGAGGGACCCGTGCACTCCCCTGCCCAAATGGCCGGGGTAGGGGGTGGGTCTGAGGAGCCATTCTGAGAAATTTCTGGAGTACCTAACTGAGAAAGAAGACCAGATGCTGATTCCCAAGAGGTTACATCTAGGACAAGACAAGTGTCTGGGAGCAAGGTTGCCTACCTCTGAATAGTCCTTTGCTTCCAGGGCCTGGCCAGCTGCTTCCCAAGAGGGCCATTGTCTGTTCTCTCTTGTTCTGCCCATAAAACTCCCACCGAGCTTGGCTTGCTGCTGGAGTAATGGCTGAGAGAGGTCATCAGGATCACCAGAAGGAAGGATTCTCCCAACGGCTTCAGCCAAAAGGGGGCCTTCCTGATGTGAGAGATAGGACTGTGAGAGACTATGGGGGCTCAGAGCAAGGGGGTGAGCAGCTAGAAGTAGAGACTGGAGAAGCGGGAAGGCTTGGCATGGGGTGGAGAAAGGGGATTGGAGGGCAGGGTGGGGAAGGAGTCCTGATTATCCACCTTGGACTCTTTATTACAGGTGAAGTCAAAAAAGGCAAGGTTACTGGCTTCCATAACTGGATCCGCTTCTATCTGCAGGAGAAGGAGGGCCTGGTTGACTATTACAGTCACATCTTCGATGGGCCTGTGAGTACATGGGCTGGAAAAGCCTTGACAGCACCCAGATGTCCTGCTCTCACTCTTTGTTCCAAAGAGTCAGACTCGTATCTCAGCCTGACTCTCATGGGGCAGCCCCAGGGGATTGTGACTAGGACGTCCTCACCTACTGGACAACCAGTTTAGCCAGGACACTGGAATTCCCTTCCAAACAGTGAGGGCTCCAGAACTGCAGGGGACAGGAGGCAGAAGGCACCATATCTGGGTGGCAGGCTGGGGCCTGGGGGGGATTCTCAAAGGGAAGAACCAAAGATATGCAATTACTCACTGCCTCAGTTTCCTTAGAATGTGGCTGAAAGTTTCAACCTGGCTAGTCTGAGCTAAACTTCATACACTTTATAAGACAGAAACCTTTGCTGCCTAGTACCAGGAAATAATTTGGGGGCAGTAAATGATCCTTCTCTTTCATGTGAGGGCCACAGGGAACAGTGACATCCTTGATACCCAGAGATGATCCTATGGATAGTGACTCTGGCCTTCTTGGTAGATGTACACTGGCAGCTCCAGGCAGAGGGTCTGGGTGGGCTCAGACACCTTAGCAGGGCAGACTGTCTCCTCTATTTAAAGAATCCAGTCTCTCTGGAAGGTTCACACAGGCCCCTAACGGACCCTCAACAAATACTGTCTGACTGTTGCCATTGGGCACCTGCCCTACCCCACTGTGTGGCACTCACCAGACCCCCTTTTCTGCCCTTCCCTCTGCAGTGGGATTCTTACCCCGACGTGCTGGCAATGCAGTTTAATTGGGACGGCTACTATAAAGAAGTGGGCTCCGCTTTCATCGGCAGCAGCCCTGAGTTTGAGTTTGCACTCTACTCCTTATGCTTCATCGCCAGGCCAGGCAAAGTGTAAGGATGGGGCCAGCCAGGCCCAAGGAGCAGTCTGGGGCTGCAGGCTGTCGTCAGATAGCCCAGTGTCGGGAGACCTGGGCTCTGCCACAAAGAGGCTGGGAGGGCTTGGACAAATCTGTGCTTTGGGTCTCACTTCTCTTGCTTGAGCAATGAGGTTTTTGGATTAGTTCAGTGGCTGCCAAACTTCATCTTAGCAGTAAAACTATCTCCCCTCATCCCCCCAAACTAAAATCCTCTGTAGGACCTTAACATATGAAATAAAAGTGGAGTTGTCTTGGGGCTCTCAGCCTCTTCGTCCCCTGAGGCTACTTAGGGGAACCTAGAGCCCAGGAAGTACCATTAGGAACCACTTGGCCTCATAGTCTCTAACATTTGAACACATTGACTTCTCCCACTTCTGAGACCTTAAGCAAACATTTAATTTCTGAGGATTTCACCTCTAGAATCTGAGATTTTGAAATATTGCTCTAGGAAAGATAAGGAACAGCATTCTTTAAGACAAGAAATGAGGCAAAGATTTTGAAATGGCTCCCTACACAGGGACCTGGAGGCAGCTGCTGGAGAGGGCAGTGCCAGCTGTCTTTAAGGCTGTTTAAACAGGATAGAGCCCTTCTGCTTAGGCTGGGTTTGATCCTTCCAGCCCAGGGAGAGGCATGGTAAAGTGGTAAGCCCCTCTGATTTCACGATCTTTCCCCACAGGTGCCAGCTAAGCCTGGGAGGATATCCCTTGGCCATCCGGACCTACAGCTGGGACAGTCCCACCTATGGGAACGGCAAGAAGTACATCGCCACAGCCTATATAGTGTCTTCCACCTAACAGAACTTTGAGCCAGAAAGGGGCATGAGGGCTCTTGCGAGACTAAAGTGCTATCTTCTTTGGACTAGAGAGAAGAGGGAGAAGACTGGGAGGGATCCCCATATCTCAAAGCAATGAGAAGCATTCCTAAATCCCAAAGTGCCCGTATGGGAAAGAGAGAAAATGTACAGATTAGAAAAATGTGGAGAAACAGTCAAATCTTTGTCTTCCAGAATTCTGGCAATGTAGACTAAGAAACAGAGTCCAGGCAGAGAAGGTAGGAGCCCTCCATAGCTCTTTGCCTTGATGTGTGGGGAAACTAGGAACAAGTCCTTCGACCTCACCAGGCCGCATGCTTCCCTTTAATGTAACGGGAAGGGGTCTGCACACCTTCCTCTTTTAGCGGTTGGTGAGAGGGCAAACCCTGATGATATTTTTACTGTGAAGGTGTTTTCAATTGTTCTTAGGAAGAACAGCATAGAAATTCAAGTTATAATGGCTGTTATTATACACAGCTCCGTAAATGACAACTCAGCCCTGTGTTGGAGTCCTCAGAGAAGTAAGGCCACAGTAATCAAGCAAGGGCCTTTGTTTTTTTCCAGAGTTAGATTCTCTCAGAACATAGTCTGGGAGAATTCCAATGTTGGATGGAGAAGGGTAGTATGTTGGTACCGTGAGTGGGCTGGGGATGGTGTGGTCTTCTCCAGGCCTGACTGTTTTTATGTCCAGCTCAGTATCTGCATCAAGAAGTTTCCCACTTGTGTATGTTTAGTGCAACCACTAAACATACAGACTTGTATTTTGATCCCAAATAGTTTTTTTTTTTTTTTTTTTTTTTTTCGAAAGAGTTATCCTCCTAGGAGGAAGATTCAGCATCAGAAGAAGTAACCCGTAGGTTGGCGTCATTGATATAATTATTTTAGGTCAGGTGAAGTGGCTCATGCCTGTAATCCCAGCACTTTGGGAGGCTGAGGTGGGTGAATCATGTGGTTAGGAGTTTGAGACCAAGCCTGGCCAATATGGTGAAACCCCGTCTCTACTAAAAATACAAAAATTAGCTGGGCATGGTGGCACATGCCTGTAATCCCAGCTATTCAGGGGGCTGAGGCAGAAGAATCACTTGAACCTGGGAGGCAGAGGTTGCAGTGAGCGGAAATCGTGCCACTGCACTCCAGCTTGGGTGACAGAGTGAGACTCCATCTCAAAAAAAAGTAATAATAATAATAATAATAATAATAATAATAATAATTTTAACACTTATCCAACAGCTATGATTTGAATAACTCTAGGAGACCAGAGAGACTGGGGCTCTCTATTTTAACCTCAATTATGCATTTCTTCCCCAACCTCATTGAGAACCAAATGCTGTACCACAGAGCTGGGTGTGAACTATGGTTCAGAAGGGTCAAATTTCCAATTAAAGTCATTGAAGAAAACTTGAAATGAGTGTCTTCTTTGTAAATGGCCTCCCTCCACTGTCTTTCTCTTTGCCTTTTCCCTGGAGCGGGGCTAGGAGTGATACTTCTGCTCTAGCTTCTTTTCAGAATGGCTTGGAGAATGCAGTATCTGGGTGAAGTCCCTGTTGACTCACTAAGTCTCTAGCTAAGAAGGGAAGAGAATTACGTAATATGAAGAGTGGAAAGAGCACTGCATATACATAATGAGGAGGGGGATAAATGAAGACTGGTGGTCCCCATCCTCAATAACCAGTCCCCTTGACCACAGACACAGGAGTATAGGGACATTTCTGGATGTAGCTTCTGTGGTTGCAGAGGCTGACCACACTGGGGGAAGAGGAGATGCTAAAGAGATACAGAAAAAGACTTCTTATCTGTAAACAGATTACTCAAGCTACAATGCTAGAAAAAGGTCAGGTATGAAGGGGTACCTCGGGCGAGTTACAGACTTTAGATAGATGGAAAAGGGCCTGGTCTTGTCCTTCCCCAGGGATGTTCATGGGCAATAGGCAAGACAGGGAGTCAGTAGAGCACAGGGCTAACAGGTACAGGCTCTGAAGTTATGTTGCCCAGGTAACTAGCCAGGCTTTGTTGCTTACTGGCCATATGAGCAAATTTCTTAATTATTCAGATCATTTCCTCACCAGTCAGATGGGGATGGTATTACCACTGCTGTGAGATACGGAATGTAAAATAGCATGCTGGTCTTTCTTATAGTAATTCTTGTCTCATTTATCATGCAGATTTAATTTTATACTAGGAGAGGCAATTTACTGTCCCTGCTATCAGCCTTAACCTTCATCTATTGGTCCCCAGTACTTGTGCTCTTCAGAGGCCTCTTCAGAGGTCTTCCAGGTAGTCCAGTAGAAGGCAGAAAGACAGAAACGCAGGACAGAGTACTGTATTCCAGGGTCTGGACCTTAGCTTTGCAGGAGAGCAGGGTAAGAACTAACATTTGTTAAACTGTTACCATGTGCCAAGCTGTGCTAAGTAGTCCTTTTACATTCATTTTCTCACTCTGGTGGGTATTTTGGTCTTCACCACTTTTATTTTACCAAGACAACTGAGGCTCAGATTAAGCTACGTTCTTAGTAGCAGAATCAGGATTGCAAATTTCAACCCTTTTCCTCATGTTGTAGTAAGCTTCGATTTCTAGTAGTATCTACTCACTTATTAATTCATTATTTTTTAAATATTTGTTAAGACCCTTGACAGAGGTTGTGCTGCTGGTTACCCCTCTGTATCTGCTCTCCTCTTCTTCCTTATTCATTGAACTCTCAGTTTTTAGTACACAAATAACTGTCAAGAGTATAGACTCTTGACCTCCCTTGCAACTGGAAGTCGATGTGTGTCTAAGTCCTCACCAATGGCATGCAAAAGAAGTATTCTTAATGGGCAGGGGGTACTGTTATTCCCACTCTTGCCCCTTTCCGCTGACTGGATTTCAGACAAGATCATGGGAGCTTGAGCAGCCAGCCTGAACCACGAATGAAAGCCATGTGCTGAAGATGACAGAGCAGCCAGGAAGAAGGAGCCCGGGTCTCATACTGGAACTATCACACTAGTCCTAGATTGCTTATATTCAGACTTATGTGAAAGAGACATAATCTTTTTTCATGTTTAAGCCACTCTTATTTTGGGCTTTCTGTCACATGCAAACAAACTTAACACAGTATCTCCATAACAGGAAGTACCAAGGGTCATAACTTTTCTTCCCAAAGTTAGTTAGCTAATATTTCCTTTCTTAAGATTTACATTAATTGTCAAATTCTTTAACTATTTTAAAGATCTCAATAATTGTTTTGGATATTAAAATTAATAGCATTCACAATCATTAACTGCAGCATTTTAATTGCAATAATAAACACTCCTGTTTATTTCCACTGACCATTACAATTTCAACATATAAAACACATAAAGAGGTTTGTTTCTTTGAAAATAACTATTCAGATATTAATAAGTTCAACTGAGATGACTGGAGTAAATAAATGAATAAAAGAGACATAAAAGAAAGGCATGATTTAGACATTTTGTTGAAATCCATTTGAAGATAACTGCCAACAGAAGTGGGGAGGTCTGCATGGAATCTAGAAAAGAACTTAAGGTGGCCTATGTCTGAGCTCACAGGAGAGAAGGCTACCATTGCAGGTATATGTTTTTGTGGGACAGCAGGAGCCTCGGAATCAGGTGATGATGACCATCAAAACCATTTGATTAACTTTTCTCAGTTTGACTCTATATTCACTAAGCTACTTCTGATTATTATGTGGCTTGAGAGAGAAAGAGAGAGAGAGAGGGTTCACCTAAGGATCTATGAGGTTTTACCAGAGCAGCCAGCTAGCCCCCTTATCTCTCATCTCAATCAACTCTGCCAGAATTAATAAAACAAATGTGGTTGCTTTTGTTAAAAACATCAATAAATCAATATATGTTTTTAAATTAATTTTTAAAAAACAAAAATATTCTTAAAAGTCAATCTATCTCCCTAAGACAAGCAAATAATCATTTCATTAGTAAATATTTTGATGTACATGTAATGATTTGACTACTATGATTTTAAAATACAAAGATACCAATATTAAACAATGGAAAAGACACGTTAATATGACCCCAACTTAGTTCTTCATTGATCAGCACCTGGTTAGTGGCTTCAAGCTTCAAATGCATGGCTGTATCCTATGCTTTTAAAAATTCTGATAGGCTTCACTCAGACTAGTTACATCAGAATCTCTGGGATGGACACAGAAATCAGTATGTATATATACACGCATACACACACGTATATGTATATACTCTCTGATTCCAAAGTTCAGTCAAGCCTGAGAACCACCGATCTGCATTTTGAGGATAATATTTGAGGTCACAGTCCTGTCTTAAATGTAGTTTCATTTGTTTGTGTTTGCTTTTGTGGACTTCTAGAATTATTTTTGTTTTGCTTTTGTTTTAGAGTTATCATTGCAATGAATGAAGACTCCCTCACACGGGAAGCAGAAGCAAAAAGTGTTAGAAGTTTCATTTTTCTTCTCTCTGTAAGCCAGAGCATATCTAAAGACAGACTGTAACACTGGCACACGTCAAAGAGAGACTCAGAGATAGATCCACTTAGAAAAGGAGTTTACTTGCAAAAAGTGCAAGGGCGTTAGACTGAAGGACTAGTTTGCCAAATACCAGTACTTAAGGGGGAAAAAAAATCCCCTAAAATTACCAGGATTACCAGTTGACAGTTGATTGTTCATGGTGGAAAAACAGTAACTTTCTCACATGGTTATCACATTCAAAAGGTCAGACAAATCGTTAGACATTAGCAAGATAAATATTAGGGATTAAACTGTTTAAAGGGAGTCCAAGGACATAGTTAAGGTTTTATTGTTTTGGAGATCAGAAAATCAGGATGATCCTGCAGTTTTTGGGTTATCTCCTATTAAGTTTAGTCATCAGAGAAGGAGGCGGAAGGCTCAGATACTGCCTTTACGTACCCTCAAGCCACGAAGCCGGTTCCATTCTGAGAAGGAAGTCACCAATCCGACTTCCTGCGCGCGCTCAATCCCAGGCTCCAGGGGGCGGGGCGAGGCCGCGGGGGCTTGTGGGCCAGCGCGGGAGGCGGGGCTCGGCGTGAGTCTCTGCGGGGCTGACTGGGCGTCAGTGCGGAGGGTGACGATCCGGTCAGGTAAGCTGGCGCAGCGGTTCTCGCCGGCAGGAGCAGCGGAGGAGATCCTTGGGGTGGCGGGTGGGAAGAGGGGTAGCGGTGATGGGTACCGGCGAGGCAGAGTGGGCTGAGGCAGGCGGCGCAGGCGCGCTTTGGGGCGGCGCGTCGGTGTCCAGGGAAGCGGCGTCCCGGGGCGCGCGTTCCCGGGCGGGGCTCGCCCCAGCTTCCCGGGCCGACGCGCTCTGCTTTGCGGGCGGAGCCTCCACCCTGCTCCCCGGGGTGTGGGGCGATTCGCCGTGCTCTGGATGGCAGAGCCGCGCTCCCGCAGAGCCCGCGGTGGGGCCCGCCCCCTCGCGGCGTGGGTGTGTGGGGTTCTTCGGGACAGCGGGTGTGAACGTGCTGTCCCGAGCGCTGGGAGTTTCTGGTCGCGGGCTCGCACCCTTGCCCCGTCGCAGGGTCCCTGGGAGTTTTTGGGCCTGCTCGAGCAGCAGCGGTGATGGGTGACAGGCGAAGCACCTAGCCCCCGTCAGCGTCTCACTGACTCGTTGCGCTTTTATTCATCTATTTGAGTCCCCAACAAAGCGTTGTGTAGTTTTGTATTTGCATGAGGTGTACATATGTGATCAAACATGAACGCCGCCTGAAAGAAGCTTAAACCTGATTTAGTTGCTGAGGCTGCAGGTCAGAAGACCGATCTGCATCTGCAACTGTCCCTTCTTAGTGAGGTGATTTTCGCTGTCCTAAACAAGTGCTTTTTCTAATTCTGTCTCTCCTTCTCCCACCTTACTTCCCTCCCCCTGCCCTCAGGCTTTGAATCTTCTCCCACCTTTTTGGAGATTGTGGCCCACCACTCATCCTTTTTCCTGTATCTTTCACTTTCTTCCTCTTTCCACAGACTATGCTCAAGAACAAGTCTTACATTATCAAAGGCAAATTTTCTCAAATCTCCATATAATCTCATTTACTTAACTCATATCATCCCTCTTTTTTTTTTTTTTTTTTTTGTCCCAGACTGGAGTGCAGTGGTACGATCATCGCCCATTGTAGCCTCTATCTGTGGATCCTCCCACCTCAGCCTCCAGAGTAGCTGGGACTACAGGCACCTGCCACCACGCCTGGCTAATTTTCATATTTTTAGTAGAGATGGGGATCTTGGAGTGTTGGCCAGGCTGGTCTTGAACTCCTGAGCACAAGCTCTTCCCCCTGCCTGCCAACCCCTGCCTCTCAAAATGCTGGGATTATGGGCATGAGCTACTGTCCTTGGCCTCCCACCCTTAAAAAAAAATCCCATTGAAACTCTGAATCGAGGCCAGGTGCGGTGGCTCACACCTGTAATCCCAGCACTTTGGGAGGCCAAGGTGGGTGAACCACTTGAGGTCAGGAGTTCCAGATCAGCCTAGCCAAAATGGTGAAACCCCCCTCTGTACTTAAAAAAAAAAAAAAAAAAACAACAACAAAAGCCAGGTGTGGTGGCCCGCACTTATAACCCCAGCCACTTGGGAGGCTGAGTGAGACTGTCTAAAAAAAAAGAAAAAAAAAAGAAAAGAAGGAAACTCTGAATAGTCTTCATATAATACACTTTCTTTACCTCTGTGTATCCTCCATGGCATTTGGCACTGCCAACCGCTTTCACTGTCTTGAACTAATTTTTTTTTGTCATCTGTAACGGTACACTCTAGGTTTTCCTCCCAGCTGTCTAGGGCTACGGCCTCCTTTTTCCTTCCTTGGCATCTGTTTCTCCGTTTAGTGTACCCCAGGTTTACCCCATCCCCCAGTTGTCGCCAAGGTGAAACATGACCGCGTCCTTGATTCTAGCTTCCACCTTTATGCTGGTGACATCTGAATTTATCTATAGTTCTATATAGCTACCTACTGAATTATCTCCTCACCCCATTAGCACTCAAATTCAGCATATCCCAAACAAATAATTTGACTTTCCATTTGCCCTCCAACTTTGACACCTCTTTTCCTTTTAACGTTGTATTTCTTGACTCAAAGTGCCGTCAGTAATCGTACTCCCAAGCCAGAAATCTAGGCCACTGTTTGAATTTTTCTCTGTTCTCTAACACCTCAGTCTAGTCAGTCATCCAGTTCTTTTTGTTTTACTACCTTGATATTTTCACATAACTTTTCAAATACAGGTTAGACCTCATGCCCTGCCATTTCAAGGCTGTCCCATGTCCATCTCTTCAATCTTCTCTTCCTTCGTTCTCTGTCATAGTCCCTCACTCTGCCCGCCAACTCCTGTTAGTTAGTCACTTGGCAGGCCCCTTTGAAACCCAGCTAAAGTTCCAACACCTCTGGGGACGCCTTCCTTGATTCTACCACCCTACCATCTGACTGTTGCCTCTCCTTTGTGGTCAGTATAGCATCTGTGTGTACCTCGCCCAGGGTTCTCAGCCAGGGGTTATTTTACCTCTCAGGGAACATTTGGCAGTGTCTGGAAATTTCTTCCTTGTCACAGTCCATGAGGGGAAGGGATAATCCTGGCACATAGTTGGTAGAGGGCAGAGATGTTGGCAATCGTCCTGCAGTGCACAGGACAGCACTCTTAAAACAATTTTTTTGGCTCAAAATGTCAGTAGTCCCAAGGTTGAGAAACCCTGCCCAACATATTAATTTTGTTACTAGTACTTTATATATTTTTTTCTTCTCCATTAGACAGGGGATCTTGTCTTGTTTTTGCATCCCTAAATCTTGATTTAGGATCTTTCACATAGTAGAAGTTAAATGTTGGAAGGAAAAGAAGTAAAGGAGGGAATCGCTCAACTCCAGAGATGAGCAGCCTGTGTGCTACCATAGGGTACTTGATAATTTCAGTGATTTGTCTCCATATTCCCATTCTTTATTGTTGCCTTTCAGGGGTGCTCAAACTTGTCTATTTTTCATTTGTTTATTCAGCAGCTGATTTATTTTTAAAATATTATATTGATTTTTCTTTATTTAGCATCACTTGGCTCTCTTCTGTCCATGTTTCTTGGCCACTTATGAAGGGGTAAAAAAAATAGTTAGCTTTCAGAAAAATAAACTAAATAGGCTTATTCTTATCAGAGGTTGGTTGTTCAAAACTCTGCAGGCCATAATGACTTCAGCAAATAAAGCAGTTGAATTACAACTACAAGTGAAACAAAATGCAGAAGAATTACAAGACTTTATGAGGGATTTGGAAAACTGGGAAAAAGACATTAAACAAAAAGATATGGAACTAAGAAGACAGAATGGTGTTCCTGAAGAGGTAAGTTAAGAATTCCTAATTAAACATCCACCGAAATGAGTTTTTTAAAAATAAGGCATAACTTCTTAAAGTGTTTTGTGAAAATACTGAAATTGAAGTGGTTTGCTTCACTCTCAATGTTTTTAGAAATTCTGCTTTTCAAAAAGTCTTTGTAATAATTAAATATGTTACCATACTTTAAGGCTTAGTGAATAGTTACCAAAAGGTTGATCATGTGATAATACTTAAGAGGTAAATGACTAGCATCATAAAATATATAGAGGTGTGTGTATATAAAAATAATATGTGTAGTTATACATTTAGTGATATGTTAACCTACCATATTGCCATACAAATGCATTTAGTACCTAGGTTCAACCAAAAGTTTTTCTTAAGACAGTGCATTTAAGTATGGCTGGATTTTCATACTGTACATAATATGGAGGCAGTTTAGTTTGCCTTTGCATTAAGGCTGAAGATAGGTCGTTTTTGAAGTTTGAATTTATGATTGCAATTTAAAGGTATAACTAGAATTTCTAGGTAACACTTTTTTCTTGTGATTGAACAGTGTCCAACATTCATCAAAGTATGAATTAAACTTTTCAAGTATAATTATTATGAGTGAAGATGGTGAAACACTTTAAAATTAAATTGAAAAATTCTTAAAAGAAAATATAGTAAGAATTTTAAACATATCTAGTTACACAAAGAGTAATAGAGTAGAATACTCACAACTTTGTGTTTTTTTTTCCCCGCCTTAGAATTTACCTCCTATTCGAAATGGCAATTTTAGGAAAAAGAAGAAAGGCAAAGCTAAAGAGTCTTCCAAAAAAACCAAAGAGGAAAACACAAAAAATAGAATAAAATCTTATGATTATGAGGCATGGGCAAAACTTGATGTGGTAAGTTAATCTAGTCATTTGCTTCTTAATATTTGAGTAAAATTTTCTGGGAGTTAGCTGATAGTCATGTGATAATTGAAAAATAATGTAGAGTTATGGCTTGTGTCTTTCTCTTAGACACTATTTTATGTGGAATAAACATTTAATTACATAGTTGTTTAGTTAATGAAATAACTTTTTTTTTCTGCAATCTTCTTTTAGGGAATGGTAGCTAAAACAGCCAGAATTTTGTTCTTCTTTCTTTCTTTTTGCAAACATTATTATTTATTTACTTATTTATTTATCCAGTGTACTCTTTATCCTGTTTCCTCTGGTGGTTACATCCTTCTTAGCTGTAGTATATAGTATCAAAACCAGGAAATTGACATTAGCACAGTGTGTGTATGGTTCTATGTTATTTTATCCCATGTGTTGGTTTGGATAACCCAGCTACAATTAAAGTACAGATATATGGCACCACCACAAAGATTCCCTTTGTGCCATTCTTTTATAGTCACACTGCTCCCTTCTTCCCCATCTTCTCTAACCCCTAAACAGCCATAATTCTAAGATACTCCCAGAAAAAAAAAGTACAGATCAGAAGTCTTTGTTGCAGACTGAAGGACCTGTAGAATTCTGCTAAAAGAGAATGCCTTTGTGTCTAGTCTTGGGACTGGGGCTGTGTGGCAATAAACGTAGGCCTATCTTGATCCCAGGGAGTTGGGTTTCTTCACCCTTCTAGACTGGGATAGCAGATGTGTGTCCTCCCATCTCCCACGTGTGATACACAACCTACTTGGAGAATCACCACCAGAGTGCTCTGCCTTACAACCCTCTACCAATGTTTTAAGCAGCCACTGTCATGTCAGCCTGTGAAAGGGAACCTGCTGGCCAGCCTTATTCTGCACTCTGGTCTACTTTGAGGATTGATTTGGTTAGGGGTATGTGTGTTGGGAGATGTGATAACCAAATTTGGAATAAATATTCCTTTTTAGTTTTAAAAAAATGTTTATTATGTAATATTTGATTCATACCAAAGAATATGTAGAAATATATGTTCCAAAGCATAGTAATACAATGAATACTTGAG